GGGAGGCTGAGGTAGGAGGATTACTTGCAGTGAAATATGATGACACCACTGCACTCTGTCCCCCGCACAGAGCAAAACCCAGTCTCAAAAACAAACAACCAATAAAAGAGGTAGGGTCTAGCTTCCTCCTTCCCCAACCTGAACAAATCTTTGTAAATGCTTTAACCAATATAACATGATGAAAATGACTCAGTGTGACTTCTGAGCCTTGGTCAAAAAAAAGCATTACATGTTTTGCATCCATTGAAGTACAGAGTCAAAAGAAAGAAAGAAAAAAATGAAAGAAGGCAGGAAGGAAGCAAGGAAGACAGAATTCAGATAATGTAGGCATTTAGTACAATAATGAAAAACAGTAAGTGCCCATTACATGTTAACTATTGTTCTTATTTCACTCAGTCCTTACAATAGCTCTAAATGCTAGATACTGCTATTTCTTACTTTTCTGATCAATAAACAGTTCAGAGGAGTTAATTATTAATACCTTGCTCAAAAAATCCCCAAATGAGGATGTGAAACTGAGTTTGCCCAAAGCCCATCTTCTCTTTCATTCCTGCTCTTCTCGGTGATCCTGGCAGAAACAACACCAGGGGCCCAGGTAAGACACTAAAGAGAAGGGTGTGTTGGGGATTGTGACAAGTTGAGTGTGGCTGGAGCGCAGAGGGTGGGGAAGGGAGCAGTGGGCAGTGAATGTTGGTCATGGCCATGGTACGAAGTCCTCTAAGTACTGAATTTCATAAAATGTGTCAGTCCCACTAATTTGTTCATGATATTTAGCTCTAAGAATTGCTGAAGCTGAGCATTCCCTTTGTAGTGCACGGAAAAAGACAAGTTCTATGCCAGACATTTTTGGTCTTGCTAAGGTCAATGGTGGGTTTGTTGCTGAGGAAGAGTTCTGACGTTTGCCATGGAGATGCTACATAAGCAAAGGTAAGCAAAAATGTTTGTCTTCCAAAAGCAAAATTAGAGGGAAGCACACTGAATCAAGATTCCATACATAACAAGTTTTGCAAATAAACACCAGTTTGAAGAGAAACTTCAGAAAATGAAATGGAAATTGACCAAGTCCAAGTCCTTAAAGAAGACTCACCCTCCCTCTTCCCCAGCTGGTTGGACTGCTTACACGTGGGTGCATTTCCTTTCATCATCTACGACCTCTTTATTTTGGAAATAGAAATAAATAGAAAATTTACTTTTGATCTCTATTATACTCTTGAAAACATCATATGCTTTAAACTGAAGGAGGTGGATGCTACTTGTACTCTTCTGGGAAAAAAAGAAAATTAATTTCTGCCTAGTTATTTTTAATAATACATTTGGCATTGATTTTAATATAACAGAAAAAGCATTAACATTGTGTTTTAATTAAGAACAATTCAAGAACATTACCAATACCTATTTAATCTGATGTATTTTAAAGTATTATATATTTTTTTTATGTATTGTCATTTTAATGTAAGATTAAAACAGACTATTACAACAATATTTGAGATTCCACAGAGAACTGCATGCTTTTGCTATTAAAAGACCTTTGTTGAAGCATTTGAACTTTAACTCTTAGGAATTGAAGAAATATGGAGATTTCAAGTATTTTTGTCAGCACACAATTATTCACAACAACCTTCTGGATACTTATTTTCTACCTTTTCCTAAGAAAGGTAAGTCTCACTTACCAGAAGGCTACCACCACCAAAGGATTCAAAGCTCTGGAGCTCAAAAGTGATCAGAAACCACAAATTAGCATGATTAGTAGTCCGAAGCTTGGTTTAAATGTTTGAAGAACAGCAAACACCAAATGATACAATAACAAATAAAATATTATTGTCTCTATAAGGTAACAACTCATTAACTACAATCCACCTAAGTCTGAAATTTTCTGTACTCAGTTTCCATAACACCTTCATTCTTAATGCTTCTTACGGCATCACAGTTTTTAGAAATTAAACAATGTATTTTCAGCATTCCACAGTAACCACCACTTTCAAAAACTGCAATATACATCTGCATGTTACACTAACATACAATACATAAGTACTTTGTCGTATAGCAACTCTTAGCCTCAAATAATAGTACACAAAAAGCTATACAGGACAAAACACCACAGGACTTCTGAATATCCTTTCACCAGTTGTTAGCAGGTAGCACTTTTTCTAAACAGAAAGTGATGAAAAATCAGAAATTTTGCATCCAGTGTTTGACTTCAACTTTCTACTTTACCATCTTCTGGTACCACCATATCCTGATGCAATTCTCGTTTTCGTATCTGAGTTCGAATTTGCCGAATAGCCACCTGAGCCTCCACGAAGTGGTGAGTAAGCACGGCTATTCCAGGCGCTGGAGTAGGGTGGAGAATAGGATGGGTAGTACCACGAGTCTGAGAAGGGTGTTGCTGCTCTATTGCTGCCAAACAAGTATCCTAATATTCCTCCAGTTCCCAGGCCAGTCCAGAATCCTGGTCCTGAGTTTTCACATCCTTGTTGTCCTGTGAAAGCACTACCAAAACCAGGAGTCGCACCACGGCCAGTATTCTGCAGTCTTGTGAACTCAGACTTAAAGCCTGGAGGAGGAGGTCCTGCTGAGTTGGTGAATCTCTGATAATGGTGGGAAAATGGAGGATACTCGGAACATGGTGGAGGAGAACACTGACCATCGCTAAGCAACAGCTTATACACCGCAAAGGCAATACCAAGTAGCACCACAATGGTAATCAATCCACCCGTGCTACAAGAATCTGCCGAGTACCACCTGTTATAATAATCAGAGAAAGAGGTAAAGCCATAGAGTCTTCCGGACTCTCAATTTCTTCAGGCCAAGTTCAGTATAATCTAAATTATACTCCAAGCCACAGGAACCTCTTAGTACATATTGGTCTTCAGAGGATTCATAGCCTTCACAGCTCACCACGGTTTTTCCAAATTTGTATGCAACATCTAAATCGGTCTTACATTCCCACTGTACATCGTAACCATCCCATCCTTTGTTCTGACACTGTATGACTTTCGGTGTGTAAGAATCACAGCCAGCTGTGCCTCCAACACATTTCAGCTGTGGGATCGGATCCAGCCTACGAGAGGTGGTATAGCGGTCGTAGTGGAGTAAGAGCTTTTACATCCCGCAACAATATTCTGTCAGGGTCGTTCCGGCCCAGCGCAGGGCCCGCAATCAGCGAAAGCAAAAGCAGGCCGAGGAGCGGGCAGCACCCGGCCGCTCCCAGCCCGCCCGCCGCAGCCATGGCGCTGAGAGAAGATGGCGCGCGGCTGCCAGACGCCGGCGGGCCTCAAGCGGGCTGCGGAAGTGCGCGAGCAGCTGCGTGGAGACGCTCCGAGATTCGGCGGCGGCGAGCGGAAGGTCTCAAAGTATTATATATTAATAACAAAAGAGAACATTTCAATATCATACTTTCCTATTCTTATAGTAAAAACCGATCTATTTTCTGCCAATATTTATTTACTTATTTAACCTGGTTTTGTTTTGTTTTTTTTTTGAGGCAGAGTCTCACTCTCTTGCCTGGACTAGAGTGCCGTGGCGTCAGCCTAGCTCACAGCAACCTCAAAGTCCTGGGCTCAGGAGATCCTCCTGCCTCAGCCTCCCAAGTAGCTTGGATTACAGGCATGCCCGGCTAATTTTTTCTATTTTTCGTTGTTTCGCTAATTTCTTTCTATTTTTAGTAGAGACGGGGTCTTGCTCTTGCTCAGGCTGGTCTCGAACTCCTGAGCTCAAGTAATCCTCCCGCTTCTGCCTCCCGGAGTGCTAGGATTACAGGCGTGAGCCACGGCGTCTGGCCTTAACCTGGTTTTTATTGAAGATCTACTTTGTACTCAGCTTGGTGTCAGGCACTAAAAATATAGTCACGTTGAAGGCAGACACAGTCCCTGTACTGGTGGCGTTTACACAGTCTGAAACAGTAGAGTTTGGTACAGAAAATTATACCAAAGTGTTAAAGTTAGACATTTTTATTACTATGTTGCAGTAGGTTTGCCCTGGTGAGTACATAGAACAGTGCTTCTCAAACTTTACTGTGTGTGTGAATCACCTGGGGATCTTATTAAAATGCAGATTCTGGGCCAGGCGCGGTGGCTCACGCCTGTAATCCTAGCACTCTGGGTGGCCGAGGCGAGGAGGGCGGAGAGGCGAGGAGGGCGGATCGTTTGAGCTCAGGAGTTCAAGACCAGCCTGAGCACGAGCGAGACCCCGTCTCTACTAAAAAAATAGAAAGAAATTATCTGGACAACTAAAAATATATATAGAAAAAATTAGCTGGGCATGGTGGCACATGCCTGTAATCCCAGCTACTCGGGAGGCTGAGGCAGGAGGATTGCTTGAGCCCAGGAGTTTGAGGGTGCTGTGAGCTAGGCTAATGCCACGGCACTCTAGCCCAGGCAACAGAGTGCGACTCTGTCTCAAAAAAAAAAAAGAGCTATGCAGCTTGTGCCTGGTTGATCAATAAGAAAATGATTTCATTTAAAAAAAAATGCAGATTCTGATTCAGTAGGTCTGGGGTGGAGCTGCTATTCTTTATTTAAACAAACTGTCAAGTAAGGCTGAGGCTGCTGGCCCGCAAACCATGCTTTGTATCGGGGGCATACAATATTAATATGCAAGACTGTAAGATGTAATATCAAGAAGTAAGACATCGGTAAGATTAAAATTTTTCTTTTCTTGGGCTATAGAGCATTTGGTAATAATATACGGGTGAATGACATGTATCTACAATTATAATACTAGACAAATGTGAAATATTCACAAGGGGAAGTAGAAAGTGGCATGGAGGCTAAAGAAGGGAGAAACCGCATCCCAGTTGGAGAGGGGAGTGGGTTCAGGGGTTGCTTCCTTAGGAAGGTGGAGTGTCTAATTGAGCCAGGAAGACACAGAAAATGTCTACTAGTGGAGCGGTGCCGGATGGTGCTTCGAGCTGAGTGTTGGTATTGGCAGTTTTGTGGGTCAGCTCATGGTTGGTTCAGAGACCAGCCAGTTGTCCTGTTTGGCAGTTCTTCCATTCAGGGAAGCAGGAAAGATAGGGATATAAAGTAGACCACCCCCAGCAAGGCCAATCTCAGCATTCCTAAAGATGAATCCAAAGACCCAACATTTCTTTTTATTCATTTTCTCCGAATATATAACACATAACGCCTTGATTTATCGCTCAGGGCTTTGTCTGGTGTCCAGTTCAATTATCTCTGTGTTTCAGCTCCTCTGGCTACTGAATGATACCTTCCTGCTGCTGTAATTTCTCAGTTTAGTGCTTTTCTCTAGCATGGCGCTTATTTGGACAGGATATCTGTTACAGACTTCTTTGCATTGGCCTCAAGAACCCTTCTGCTGTACTGTGGCTGCGGGTACCCTGTGGGTGCTCTCATCACCGGAACATCTGTCAAGACCGGTTCCACATTCCTGCAGCGGCAGGTTGCCGTTGCCCCTACTGGATGCGTGTAAGCGCTCCCATTCACATGATCTTCCCAGCTCCTATTGTCTTCTCAGTTATATCTCCTCCTTGATCCCTGGAAAACATCTGAGGTTGCAGTCTGACTAAAATGGGGGACAAAGGCAAAGAAAGAGTCAAAGGCAAAGTACTGAGGAAGAGCCGTTGGGAGCTATGTCTGCCTTATTCACTTCTGTGTCCCCAGTGCCCAAGCCACTGGTTAACCATAACGGGGCTCAACAAATATTGGCCAGATTTTAAATACAGATTTTGTATAATCATATCCCACCGATTTTCAAGACATTATGGATTCAAAAAGCACTCTGTTCAGGAAACTTTTTAGGTTAAAGAACTTTCCCAGTGGACAAATATTTTCTATCTTGCATCATTTTGAAGGTAGAGAAGATAATGTTTGTGGGAGACAGAATTCCAAGATGATCCCCAATGACCCTCACCCTTTTGAGTGTGGGTGGAACCTGAGGATATAAGGAGATATTCCTCCTGTGATTACACTATGTTATATGAAGATTTTCTGGATGGGCCTAATATAATATATGAATGCTTTGAAAGCAGAGAATTTTCTCTATATGGTTGCAGAAGAGGAAGCCAGAGAGTCAAAGCATAAGAGGGAGTCAATGTGCCATTGCTGGCTTGAAGATGGAAGGACCATGCGGAAAGAACCTGAGAGCAGTGTCCAGGAGCTGAGGGCCAGGAGGAAAATGGCCACTTCAGCCCTACATCCACAAGGAAATGAACTCTACCAACAACTTGAATGAGGTTGGAAGCAGATTTTTCTCCAGAGCCTCCAGATAAGAGCCTCGCTTAGGCCAGGCACAGTGACTCACGCTTGTAACCTTAGCATTTTGGGAGGCCAGGGCAAGAGGATCACTTGAGACCAAGATTTCAAAATTAGCCTAGGCAACACAGTGAGACCCTGTTTCTACAATAAATTATAGCCAGGCACGGTGATGCACACCTATAGTCCCACCTACTTGGGAGGCTGAGGCAGGATGATTATTTGAGCCCGGGAATTCAAGGTTGCAGTGAACTATGATCATCCCATTGCACTCTATCCTGGGCAACACAACAAGATTTTTCTCTAAAAAATAAAAATTAAAACAAAAAAGAGCCTAGCTTAGCCCACACCTTGATTTTGGCCTTGTGAGACCCTAACCGCAAAATCCAGTTGAGCCAGTCTTGGCTTCTGACATACAGAACTGTGGGCTAATCAGTGGCTATTATATTAAGCTGCTAGTTTGTGATAATTTGTTATGCAGCAATAGAAAACTAATACAATGCTTTATACCTCAAGGAAGTTTATAATACATGTGTATTTATAAGGTGCTCACATGATATGGGCATTTAACTTGTCTGTATTTTACTATATGTACTGGAGGAAAAATAATAATTTAAATAGCATGAGCAATAACCTCCCATGGTTATTCCACTCAGTAAGCTATCAGCAACATCTGACAGAATTGTACTCTCTTCTTGCAATACATTCCTCACATTGCCTAATGAACAACCTCCTTTCTTCATTCTCCTCCCAGCTCACTAGACATTTCTTTTTAGTACTTTGCAGGTTTCTCTTCATCTTTCCTAACACTAACATTCCTATATACCCTCCACATACATATATTACCCTACATGGTGGCATAAACAAAATATGTATACAGTTTTTTATTTTGTTTTGCATAGATACAGGGTCTCACTCTGTTGCCCAGGCTGGAGTACAGTGGTGTCCCATTATAGCTCAATGCAGCCTGGAACTCCTGGCCTCAAACAATCCTCCCACCTCAGCCTCCTGAGTCACTGTGATTACAGGCATGACAGTTCTTTATAGGCAATTAAAAGCTATTCAAGGGTAATTTTGACTATCCCCTGCTTAAAAAGCAATTTCACTCCATCAGTTTTTCTCATCTAAAATTGGGAGTCACCCAGCTACTTCAGTGTAAAGTCAAGAGGAGTTGTGAATTAACTTGTCTTCACACTGGATCTCTTCATTAGCTCTAAACCTGTGCTGTCCAATATGGTAGCCATAAACCACAAGTAGGAATTTAAATTTAAGTTTTAGCTAGGCCTGTAGTCCCAGCTACTCAGGAGACTGAGGCAGGAGAATTGCTTGAGGCTAGGAATTGAGACCAGCCTGGGTAACATAGCGAGCCACTGTCTTGAAAAAAAATTAAATTCTAATTAATTAAAATTAAATGAAATTAAAAATTCTGTCCCTCAGTTACACTAGCCACATTTCAAGTGTCCAATAGCCTATATGCTCATGGCTACCACATTAGACAACACAGATACAAAACATTGCCATCATCACAGGAAGTTCTATTGGACAACAAAAAAACCCATACCTTTAATTGTCATGTGGTCTCCTCTGCTTAAATATCCTAAACTCATTGCTTTCCCATAGAAGAGATTTTGCAGAGGAGTGATGTGAAAAGTGCATTATTTGGAATCAAATTTTCTTGAGTTTAAATCCAGCTCTACCGTTGTAGGCTCTGTGACCTTAGGAGGATTACTTGACTTCTCTGTGCCTCCATTTCCTTACCTGCAAATTGGGATAATAGCAGGAACTATCCCTTAAGCTTGTTGTAAAGATTAAATGATGTGATATATACAATGTACTTAGAATAGTGCATAACTCTTAAGTACTCAATAAATTTAGCTATTATTTTTTGTATTAGTTTTTGGTGTTTTTAGGGATGGGTGGGCAGAGTCTCACTCTGTTGCCTGGGCTAGAGTGCAGTGGCATCATCATAGCTCACCACAACCTCAAATTCCTGGGCCCAAGTGATCTTCCTGCCTAAGCCTCCCAAGTAGCTGGGACTATAAGCACACATCACTATGACTGACTAATTTTTAAAAAATTTTGGTAGAGACAGAGGTCTCACTATGTTGCTCAGGGTGGTC